CGCGCCGGAAACGCTCCGCGGTCCTGCAGCCCAGAGAGTTGGGGAATGCATGATGGACAGACTGTTAGACTGGTTTGAACAGATCTGGATGGTGTTAAGTCACTGTACATCACTGAACATTCAGCTGAATATCACTCTGGCACCCCACATCTCCCACAGTTTCACCCTGCACGGGCCATGGACATCCAAACCACTCAGTTGGAGGACCAATTCCAGCGTGCCTTTTTCAAGCTTCTGGTATTTCAATGTCTTTCACAACATGTGCTTGTACTTTCTGAGGGTGCCATACTAAATGTATCATTCTCTACTTGCACAAAAGCATGCCTATCTAAGAAGAATTGTCAAAACAAGGGAGGGTAGGCATGGGTAGGCCATCTTCGATGCCCAAGTGACGAAAGACATGCGATATCATGCAATCAGACTGGTGCTTAGGGAATGAGGGTTACCCCACTTTCCACTTTATAGGTACCTTGAGTCATCCTTCCAACAGAGGTTGAAGAACCCTATAGGCTATCCCATAGGTACCCTGGTAGGGTCCAAAAAGGTCACTTAACCTCTGTTGGTTAGTCACTTGTAGAAAGCTCCAATGATCCATTGGTCGCTTCAGCTCTCCACCGCCAAGTCTGGACCACCGCGGCCGCGGCCGCCTCCCGCGGATGTGCGGCCACCGGCGGCCCCGGGACCCGAACGGTGGGTCAGGCTGAACAGCCGATGCTGAACACTGCAGGGAAGTAAGCCACATCCCACGATAGCTGAGCTACTTGTGACTCTTGCTGCGTCATGAAGCATGGAATTGAAACACGTATTGTGTCTAAAGGAATATGGTTTTCCAAGGGGCCATGTTCCACTTCCATGTGAGTTCCAGGAAGGCTTTGGTGCCTTTTTCAAGCCTGTATCCGTTGGATGCGTGCTTTGAACTTGCTAACCTTTGTAGGACCGGGTGCTTCTGGGGAGCCATTTCAAGCGTTGGTCGATTTTTGCAAGCGCATGTCATGACGGTCGACCTATTATATTGTATTTGCACCAGACATCCTACAGACGCCCAACACAGCTTATATCCAAATGTTGTCATTCAAATGCACAGCCACATTGTCTTGAGAGTGGCATGGCCCACTTGCACACGGGCACTTACAGATGGGTTAGGCTTGACTCGACCGAGATTATGTTGGCGCATGCAGGGCCGCTTGCAGGATTTTTCGGTTAGGTGGGTCTTGGGTGGATATTCGGCGTGTTCCAAAAGCTTTTTTAGGTGCATCTCTATGTCCGTTTTTGAGTACACTTAGTTCAGCGGTATAAAAAGACAGACATCATATATACATTTGGACCCATGGAAACTCCCAAACCTTGTCCTTCCCTCAACAGACCAGCTAAGGCTCCACCATGCCGCGCGGCCAGTACTGCCAGGGCCTCAGCCGCAGCCAGGTGTCGGCAGAACTGGCGGCGAACACATGGACTAAATAACTGATGAGTTCATGGGTTATTCCTCTCTTGAATCACACATCCAAATTGGTAAAACCACCTTGTTTAGTGCAACATAGAATTTCATCCGGGGCTGGACATAGGCGGGACCAGGAGTGGGCTACTTCTACTAGCGGGCAGAGAGTGTGACATGGACATGGACAACAACTCATGAATTCCGAGGTTTCCGGTCATTGAAAGTCACTCGTCCTTTGATCATTGTTCTTGGTGGACAGACTCTCGAACGAACCATGCCTAACCATGCCCACATGGCGTAGAGAAACACGGCAACTGCGGTACAGACCCGATGAAAGATGACACAGATCGGATGGTGTGAGTTCGGGTGTTCCACTTGATTGACAAGGCGGATGACGAGGCAACATCGTCCGATAGACATCCTCGCAAAGCCTTTCGTCAGAAGCTGTTCGCACTAAGGAGAACTAAATCGCTTGAACAAGGACAGAGTTTCCTTTAGAGATCCATTTCCTATCATTCTCATTGTCATGGTCAAAGGCCTCTCGAAAGTTCACCACTACCTCTTCAGCTGACCTGCCGACTCGACTTCGCTTCCAGGGCCGCCGCCGGCCGCTGCGGCCGCCGGCTGGAGGGCGGCAAATGGCGGCGAAGACGTCGGAGAAGCCCAGCGTCCAAAGCTTCGACATCGGGCCAACAAAACCTGGAAGCGAAGTCTCGACATCGGGGACTTGATAGATTGAGAAAGAAAGTCCTGGAAGAGTTCGGGAATTTGGAGTCAAAAACTGTTGGCCTTCTGCATGATATGGAATTTTCCAATGGACATCTGCTTTCGGAGTCTCTTTTGGCTCCAACCTTCCAAGCCTCAAACACCGAAAACAGTATCGATGGAACCGAAGCTAACGCAAGCAGCTCCTTCACGTTGATTGGCTTTGTAAACTTCGAGAACGCAGGTTTTGGTTTAGCTGCCTGCGTCCCTTTGTGTGAAGATGTGTGAAGCTTTGTATGCGATATATAGGTTCTACAGACACCGAAAGTGGTGAACTTCTATGTGTTCTTGGTTTCTGGCTAAAGCCAAGTGCTTTCTGCCATGCGGCTTGAATCTGGGATGTCACATTAGTTGGCCCAGGGGACATAGTGCTCCAAGGGATCCAATTCCACTCGTACTAATTGAGGGTGCATTGGCAATGGACTGACTTGGATTGGAAATAGATCGAAATGAAGTTCACAGGTGATGAGCTTCATGCAGATCAGCTTCGAGCCCGGTCCCAGACGACTTAGCTCATAGCCAAAGATTCGGAGAACCTGACAAGCAGAACACATCTCAAAGGCACAAGGTGGTTTTCTTTCCCCCCCTCCCCTCCACCAGTAAGAGTTCAAGAAAGTGAATTGTCCAAATTGAATTTGAGAGACCCTGGGACAATGACCAAAAACGATACCATTCCTCACCCGCCGAGGACGAATCGACGGCGGCTCTTGCCGAAGGCGGCGGATGAAGTTGTGGTGGATGAAGTCAATGGAGGGTGAACGACTGGGTTCGTTCAATCCCGGAAAGGATGGATTGAAAGTATAGTGGCGGACATCGGCCGGAAAATGGGTTTTTAAAGGTTGGATCTTTCAACCAAACCATGACTTTTTGAAGCCATTGCATACCATCAGATGGATCCAGTGAATGGGCAGACAATGGAATAAACTAACATGGATTGCGCACTGTTTGGGTGTCTACTTCAAGCATTGTTACATGACCAACACATACTGAGACTACAGTTTGCTATAAATTCTAGTGGATAGGGTGATCAAGAGCTTTCCTATATTTGCTTAAAAACAACATGTATGTTATCAGAAGCGGCCAACTCAAGATGCCAAAAGCAAAGCAGTCTCTCAGCTTGTCATACAATCAACTATGGTACGTGGATTCAAGAGCAATTAGTTGTTAAGCCCGCAGATGCCAGCAAATTCTATTTCGCAAGGGAAGGGACGATCGGGACGATCGGGGATCATCGCTTCTTTCCAAAGCTGGTGTTGCACACCGCTGCGGTGTCTGAACAGGGACCCGCAGACCAGGGACCCGTATTATAGATTGGCACTTTTTGGCGCCGGAGGTTTGGATGGTTTGCTGATGTTTGCTGACCGGTAGCCATGGCTCCCCACCGATGGTTGACCCTTGGCCCAATGCCATCGCTACAGACCGCTACAGACATGCAGCAAGATTGCTTTGCTTTCACCCTTTCTGCACCCGTTTTAGTCGAGCAAAGTTCTTAAAGTAACTTCGGCAAACTTCTTTGCAACATGTAAGAGTTGGCTTCACCCCAGAGCTTCACCCCCTACTGTTGGAGGGCGCAGAGAGTTTTTTTCACCAACCCACCACATCCGGTCATCGCCTGCCGGTCGCCACCGCGATGCGCCAGATCAATCGCTTGGACCCCTTTGCCGACCCCCCTGCACTGACGGAGTCAGACTTGGAGGCGTCCCTGAAGGGAAGTCTGAGCTCGTTGACGAGGTCGCCAGCGAGTGGCGCTTGGACGAAATGAGAAAGAGATATGGAACATGTTTCTCACTGGGTTGTGGTCTATCTCTTTCTGTAAAGTCAGTGGCACAGAGAATGTGGACCAACAGCACCGGTGCTCCCGGCCTCCCGGAATGTTCACAACTTGCACCCACCTGACTTTCGATGCACGTCTCCCCACTGTCAGTAGACCACAACCGATCGTTCCCACGAAGACACCGGTATCCCTGGATCCACCGAGCCACGACCGGTACGGATGACCGGTCATACCAACACCGAGAGACGGTCCGGGTCCGCCGAGACGGGTCTGCTGGACTTGGCGCTGCGCGGCTTCATCCCGAAGACCGCGGACCTGATGCCGGCCATGGAGCGAGGCCGTGGGGCCGAGGGAATTGGAGCGACTAGGACAACTGGTGGGGGGCAAGCCTCCTGGTGTTCTGGAAAACGCAGGGGGGTTGGAGTTGGATGTGGTAATTTACCGACTGTTACAGGTAATAGGACAAACCCAAATTATATCCAAATATTTAAATATTACCGGAGCTCATAGAATTGGCAGTCAGCATGCGTGAATGAATTTTGCTGTGTCCCTCCGACCGCACTCCTACCCACTGAATCCCACTAACCAGTCACTGGATTTTGGGCAGTGGAATCTTTGAGTTTGTTGTTGAGAAGCGGTTTGGTTTGGGGCGTTTGTGTTCACCTCGCGACTCGATTTGCTGTATACATTCAATATGTGGCAGTTTGCTGCAGTTTGCGGTATGCCAAAGTAAAGTCAACTCACTGGTCTGAAAAGAAAACATTATTAGGAAAGATCGCGAGGAAACTAACCTAAGAAAGGAGGACGCACTCCGCGGTCCGCTTTATCCACACTTTGCAGACAGTCGCAGCATTTGACCGGCGGAGGTGGGACGGAAGAAAAACTTCGGATGTGTTCGGGAACCCATGGGAACCCATCATGAACTCGGCTTTTCCTCTCCCAAGATCTGGATCGGAAAAAAAATGATCGGACGCAGAACTCGTGTCGTTCACCGCGGAACTCGTTGGGGAGACCACATCGCCAGGAATGCCATGCCTCACGCAACACCCGGCGGCCTTTTATGATCAGGCGTTTGTTGGACCGGGGGAAGGTGCAGTCGTGGCACGTCCTGGCACGTCGTGCCGTGTGGGAGGTTGTTGAGGACATCTTAAGAGCTCATATGAGTCATTGGTGTGCAGCAAAAAGCAGACACGATGGGGGACCATCTCTTTGGCAAGAATGACAGATACGCTAGGTATACAATTGGTATACATGTATACATCAAAGCATAAAGGGGGAGCCTCCTAACTTGTGTGGTGGGAATGGCAATTTAGCCCAGTGGCGCAAAGTCTCCCTTGTTTTTACAAACACACGTGGTTTTGCAACAGGCTGAAAGGAATTACAGTTGAGCAAAAAATGCCAAGAAAGGCCTTGTGTTACAGGCTCTATCTGGAAAAAGCACCTTTGAGGAGGTGATTGGGAATGGTCCATGGTATGGAAATGTATGGAATGGTTGGTTTTGAGTTTTGAGGGTCCAACATGGCCCAACTACCTCGGATTCTCGCTCAGACCTCAGAAACATGGGAACCCAGGGGTGCGGTCTGAGCATCCTAGAGCCGTTTTTGGCATTCCAAACATCAAAAAGGATCTTGGAGAGTGTCAGTCAGCTTGGAGAGTGTCAGTCAGGGCAGAGAAAACACCATGAAATACCCATGCACTGGTCAGCTGATTTCGCTGTTTTGGTTTCATTACCTTCAAAAAGATTAGCGTATGGTAAGTTGCACCACCCCGGATCAACCATTGTATCGAGTGGATCTGGAGCCATCTGGGGCCGTTCTGAACCATCTGGGACTGTTGACAGCTGGTCCTCTTTTTGTTCATTTAGAACAGGCGTTCACTGCTGTAACTTCCCTTTCATTCATTGTCCACAGCCGGTCCTGGAGAAACCGCATCTGGCGGGGGACCAGTATCTCGACCAGCCCGGACGAGAGACGGGAGAAACTTTCGGACCGAGATGAGGCGACAGTCATGCCAATGTTTGTTCTTTCGTCTCGCTAACCTGTACCAAAACCCTGACTTTGAGGACACGAATGACTTTCAGGTCACTGAACAGATTTAAGTTTTCTCTATATATATATATATAGAGAGAGTGGGGTGGAATAGCTTTTGAGTTCTTCCAAATCGTCCAATTCCATTGGCAGATCCAAGTCTTTTGCCCTTCTGCTTCATGATCTTCGCCACATTTGTTTAAGGCCATGAGGCAATGGCAGCCTCGTTTGGAAGATGCTTCGGAGCATTTGGCACAGGCGCGAGAAGCTGGGCTGCGAGGGCAAGAAATGTGCATGTCAGCTATGGAATGAATGGCGCTGGTGGCGCGGGTGGCAGTTGTTTGAGTGCCCGTCGATGAACCCTGAAACTCCTGAGTACAAATTGAAGCTGTCCCATGCAGGATCCTATTTGAGGGATCAGGAAACTCTTTGCATCCTTTTAGATTGATTCAACTGCCCTTGTGTTGGCCCAAAAAGACAGACTGAGCAGAATGCAGTGAAGAGTGTTGTTGTCCAGAAGTTGAAGGTGGCTACTTCAGCTGGTTGTGATTTTTATCTTCAAAACCTACTTTGCAAAGAAAGGCCAAAGGGTCTCTCGTTGGATGCCCAATACATTTTGTCACACAGCAGCCAACCACCTTAGAGATCCTTTATTAAAATTTATGCAATGGCAGAACTTGATTGGAATTTTGGTCTATGCAAAGAAGGCCCAACAAAAACATCATCTTGAAGCCCCTCCCTCGAGGATTATTTTTTGCTCAGCAGAACGTCATACCAAGGGCTCTACTGAGGGCCCCTCTTGATGTATGTTGAGTTTTTTCCAAGATGAGGGTGAAAAGCCTCAGTTAGGAGCGGAAGCGATGTATGTCTTTCACTTGTTGTACAGATATTAAGTGATACTATTATATATATATATACTATAATATTCTTAGGCACATACTCTAGGGCTCCAACTACCTCCTGAGAGATGGTTGGGGTAGGTGTGGGACGTTCAACTACCTTTTGAGGACGTGGTTGGAGCCCTTGGGATAAAGTTACAATTCGTTGAAGCGTGGCAAATGTGTCTAGTTAGAGGTTATTGACCTAGTCGGTCTAACATGTACAGTCTTCCTTCTACAGGTGCTTCCCCACCTCTCGAATGAGGGTCTATAAGTGTGTGTACAGCTGCCTCTCTACCCTCCAACAATCATGGAACTGAACAATGGCCATTTCCATGTTTGTTGGGAGATGGAGGTATGTCAATTCCCTCGCTCCTCCCCAGGTCCGCTTAGACCTGCGCGAGCACCTGCTGCGGAGCCTCGCGCCACCCGAGGAGCCTTATGGGAACTTGAAGATGTTTGAAGACTTCTGGCAACGCACGACTTGCCGGCAAGGTGAAGCTACCAGGGCTCCCCCAAACCATCCCACTGGTCTGTGACTTGCGAATGATCCGCTCCTACATAGGACCTTCCACCAGTGTGAATTAACACCTTTGCAGGTTTCCTGGTACTTTTCAGTTCATGTTTGTTTCCTAATTACCCACACTTTGGTTCGAACTGACAGGTTTTGCTCCTGCCAGCTCAACCCAGATTTGTCTCTGTTTGATGTCCTTTCCAGTCAGCCCTTGACAGAGACCTGGCAGGACCCCTTTCAGCACAGTGGCAGCAGTTCTTTCAAATCAGCCACCTGGCCACAGTGCGATAGGTTTCCTCCCGAAAGGACCGCAACTCTGTTGTGTATCGATGGTAAATGAGACAAGGCATACCTTCACAAGGTTCACAAGAGATTAAGTCAGAATGGAGCTAAAGGATGGTCCCCACTCTGTCCACAGTCTCACTGAATCAGATTTTTGTGCGGTTTGCTTTGTCTATCCTGTTCTTTGAAGCCGGGTTCCTCCACAAAGATGAGACGTTTACTTGGTGCATCTGTTGGGTACTATTTACTGGGTGCATCTGGGTGCATCTCCCCCCCAAAAAAACTCACTGCTACTAGTAACAAGTGCATCGCTATTAGGAACAAGTGCATCGCTATTAGGAACAGGTGCATCGCTACTAGTGACTGGTAGCAAGGTGCCTTATTACTACGAGTAGCTTGTTACTAGTAAGGCACCTTGCTACAGACGTAGATTTTATAGCTACGTTCGTAACATCCTTCAACAGCAGATGACGCGTATCCGCTGACGGACGAACGTCCACGTCGCTGGAAACCATTGGGAGAGAGGTGTTGCATGTTTGGCTACCACTGGCTGCCAGCCCCGGACCCTTGGCCATGAGACGAGGCTTTTGTGTTTTGCTCATGGTTTTTGATGTCCTTGTCTTGTCTCGCATTCCAATCCTGTGTCCATTATTATACTTGTTTCTGAGAGGTACGCCAGTTAGCTTCTCATGCAGTTGTTTTGTGAAAACACCATTCAGTGTCGACCACTTGTGGTATTTGACATACATGAACTTGGTGCCATTTAGCTACATGTGGCGTGCGCTTACGAGATCCTAGAATTCCTTATAGTATAATTAGTTATGAATCGCCCTGAACCTGAATGTCTCATGTATTGGCAACATATTGAGTGGTTATCACCACCAACAGATCCTGTTCACAGACACCTGCAGATCAAAACATGAAGGGGAAGGTACACACACTTTCAGTTATACGCCGACTTTGCATAATTACAATTGGCCATAGTTGGCCACTAAAGCCAGCCAGACATGATGGTTATACATGGTTATAAATACATGTATACATTTATTAATATACTATAATATATAGTAAATAACATAATATATATATATATTAATATATCCAATATTATATATATATACTAATATAAATATATGTATATGGAGCCAGACTGGGCTCTGGAATCCTGAGGCCTGCCCGCGTTTGCCACCCTTGCACGGAGCCCGAGCTCGAGGCCAAAACATTGGATGACCGAGGCCTCCATGTTAGGAAGACAGCATCACCAGAGATGCTGTGCACGTTTCGCAAGAAAACATATTTCACCATGCCGAAAGTGGTGCCATGCCGAAAGTGTTTTGTCTGCATTCAAAAGTTTGTGCCGCATCTTGCGGTCGGACTTCCACACCTGAACTGGTTAAGAGGCCTAAATATGTTATTTTCTGAAGTATTGGTGGAGAGTCAGCGCTCACCATTTGAGAACCGAAAACCAGACTTTGCAAATATGGTCTCCTTTGTTGAACGATATTCCACAACTTCCTCTACAAACAACTGACATGGTGGGATTTGTTTGGGTCAGTGATCTGGTTTGGATGATCATCATGGGCATTTTTTTGGGGGAAGTGTCCTACCAACCCATGAGCTGGTCAGCTGGTCCACTTCTCCCGTCACCTTCCCCAAGGCCTGGTCGGCCACCGGAGTCCGAAGAGCTTCTCGGATGGGGATTTGTGGCGAAAGGGAGAAGGGGTGATTTGAGTCTTTGAATGGATGAGAACCTATGCAAACACTGATCAGATTCAGAGGAATTTGAGGTTGGCTGGAAGACATCGGAAGCGATCTTGAGGGCTTCAGGCATGCTGTACGCTATAGGTTCTTTCTTAATGCTATGAAGTTAGGGGAGGGCTCCAGCCCTACCTCCGGTGGCTGCCAGGGGGGTCTAACTACCTGAGGATTTGGGCCAGAAGCCCATAGGAGTCCTACAGGCCTTTTAGGGGACGTTCCAAATGTTCCAAAGGGATAGTCCAGGTTTGTATAGATGTCTGAAAGGAAAGGGACCTCAGCCAGGGCTATGTATATAGGTTAGGTAAGTGACAGGTTGCTTGTTTGGAACCAAAAAGTCTGAAAGGAAACCAGGGCAGGAACACCTGCTGACCCCGGACACCTTGATCCACACGACCCGACGAGGCTTTCTGCTCCGTGGGCCGCGTCCGGTGTGGTGGAAAGAGGCTCTGTGGCTGAGGCGGGGGGTCGTCGTGATGGGGGGAGAAATGGGGTCGTCAGGAGCGAAACCATGCTTTCACAGGTTGGGACGTGAAACACCTCCCCTCCTTACATCTCCATCGTCATCCAGCTGCCCCATGCTATTCCTGGAAAAATAACAACAACGTCATTGAGTCATCAACGAGCAGATTCGCTTGGGAGACTGACAGGCCACAACTCGACAACTCAGTTGAGCTCAGTTGGCAGAATTCACAGAGTTCTGTCTTCACCTTGGGAGAGATTATCATCAACGAGTTTGGAAGTCTTTCAGTCGCCCTAGCCCGCAAGGAATCACTACAATTATGTCGGGCGCGCCAGCCATAGATACAAGGAGCCAAAATAACAGTATAAAGCAGAAACAAGTAAAATGTAAAGCAAACAAAAAAGCACAAACATGTAGCTGTGCGTGTTTGTCGCTTTTTTCACTTGTGTTTCGCTTTATGTTTGCATGTGTTTGTCGCTTTATGTTCGCATGTTGTTTGCTATGTGTTTTGCTTTTTTCTAGGAGCGTACAGCAAATATTGCTGACGGGTAAAAGTTCTCATAAGTGCACAAGTGGTACCAGGAAAAAAGCAACACAAATGCAACAACAAAGCACATTGCGCTGCTTTTGCATGTTCATGTGCTTTTGTTTTGCTTGTTTTTGTTCGCTTCTTTTTCACCAAACAGAACAACACATTTGATGGTTGGTCATGTATGGCTGCCATTGCCCAACACAACACTACAACTCTCCCTAGGCCCTAGGCCCTAACCCCCTTGACGATTCCAACGCCCCACCGCGCCACCCGAAACCCTTCCGCACTCCACTCCACTCCTCCGGCGGATCGCCTCGGGTGCCCTCGGCGAGGCCTACGGCACCTTCTGCACAGAGCTCTTGGAGGCCGTGGACGTCACCGAGCTCCAGGCACCCGCGAGCTCCGAAAGAGCGAACACGCGGGTGTTCCACGTGTGAAACCACGGGTTTCGTTGAATGTTGTGTTTGTGTATTTTGTGTGTGTGTTTTTTTTGATTCGTACCTTTAGTTTCTTGTTTTCGTTTTTGCAGGCAGCGGGTTTACCTTTTTGGAACGTTTGGGGACAGGTGATGGGGTGGATCAACAGTTCCCCTCTGTTTTTCGTTATTGTCATACTGAAGGGATCTTAAGTCGATGCTTCATGAATTGGTTCATGCTGTGGCATTCATCCAGAGTACCCGAATGGTGGGTGCATCCCAGCGCTTGGTTGGCAAATCAATATAGGGAAAGCTGTCGTTGCATCAAAAGAAACTGGCATCCCTGGAAGTATTGGGAAGAGTATAGTATGGTTATGTTAGAACAAATAATTAGGGACCTCCTCAAATACCGTGAGCAAAGAAAATTGGCCGCATGATGGCACTCTGTTAACTTTTCATGCGATACCAGTAAGCACACACACACAAAGACCTGGAGGACAAGGATGTACAAAAAAGAACCTTCAAGATTTACCCAAGGGGCGAATATTAGAGATATTGTAGATATGTTATGTTATGTAGATGATCCGCAAAGAGAGGAACACATTCAAATTGCGTGTTTTGTGTGCAAAGATTCTGTAGTAAAACCAAACCTCTATACCTTCCTCTTGGATGAACTCGGACCCAACATTGAAGGGCCTATGGTCGGGAGACCATCCACCATTGCGGCGTCCTTGTTGTTGTTCATAAAGAAAAGTAACAGATTCATCAAACAACATGCAAGACCACCTCTTCCGTGTCGTTGTAGCTTGTCTAAAGCACCTACAAGAGACGTTTCAGCCATTCAAGCTTCCCGTTTTCAATCGCTGGACGGAAACACAGCCCGCCGTCGGCCAGGTTCCCGCCTTGCCTCCGGCGCCCACGCAGGTCGGGCGCTCAGAATCGACAGCGTTGTCCTTAGCAAAGACTGCCCAGAAGAGGAATCATCACCTAAAACGATGGAGAAAGTCCATGGTTGGAGGGTCTCCCTATTCCGATACACCACACAGAAACAGTTCATTACTAAGAACTACCTAGCAATTGCTTTAGCACTGGTGGTGCAACTGGACCACTGGTCAGGCTACGTAGTGGATCAGTGGGTTCACCCACACCTTCTCGGGTTTCTACCTGGTCCGCAGCTTATACCCAACCCAAATTGAATGAGAACAGGAACAGCTCATCAGAAAAAGAAATCCGAACAGAGAACTTCTTGGAGCCAATATATTGGGCGGGTCGCTCGATCGCACGCTGATCTACACCAACTCCCAAGGCAGAAATCGAGGCCTCTGCTGTGACCCAGATTTCTGCGCATTGGCGTGGCTGCCGACAGCGGCGGAGGCACGTGTCGGTTTCCTTTGAGAGAAGGCCGCTCCAAAATCTGTTGGGACTAGGGACGAGTTGAGTCAGTTTGGTTCGCCTTATATATATATATATCATTCCTGTGGATCCATCAGATAAGTAGCCATCACAGGGTGACTGATATGGTATCTGTTTCTCAACTGCTGGATGGGTTCAGGATATGTCAGGATGACTTGATGTGGAGAAGAAACCAGATCCAGGGGAAGAAAGCAACTGTGGTTCCATTGTTTCACGAAAGCGAAAATAGCACAACTCCAGGGAGTGGAACCAGAAAGTGCTTCAGCGGACCCATCCCGCTTGGGAAATGGCAGGAAACCTGAAACACCACCGACTCTACCAAATTGGACACCCTGAATCTGACAAAATGGTTGGGATCCTTTGAACCTCAAATCCCACCTGCTTGCTGCTCGATGTCTGGCGGAAGAAGACCCGGTCGACGCCCGCTCACATCATCCGGGTCGACGTGCATCCCATCGGGTCGGATCACTCCACCCGCGACGCGACGTTCGCCGCCCCAGATATTTGGAGCAACGGACGCGCCACCGCGCTGCCCGGCGCATCCAATCCGCCACTGGGCGCACGATCGGTGCGGGGGTTGTGGGAGCACGGAGCAAACAAGCTCTGGGAGTGGCAGTGAAGGTATGCTGAAGGTGGGTGAGAGTGGTTTGAACAGTTCTTCTTTTGCAGAACCAGCAGGCACGGAATCTCTGATCGCTTTTTAAGACATAACTCATCAACATCTAAGAACTACAGCAGTGAATTTGGTGTTCATGGATGTTTTTCGTTGAACGATCAGCACACTTGTGAAGCAGAAGTTGAGACATATAGTATATATACGTTCCATACGCAGGTCGTTTTGATTTGTGGGGTGGAGACATGTCAGGACCCTCCTGCGAATCTGGGTTGCCCACACGTATCGCCCAAAAAGTTATGAGGACTCCAACAGCCTTTTTGGTTTGAAGGTCTTTGGGCGGGTCATTGGAGGGTAGTGTCCAAACTATTGTCAAACTATACCTTCTAAGGAGCCCTTCCAGACATGGTTCCGATGATGGTTTGGTGTTTTGGATTCCTAAGGAGAGCCATTCAAATGGTTCATTATGAGTCCCGTACTTCCTTGTGCCACTTTGCCGCATCAGACTTCTGAGCAAGCAGCCTCATGACCTGCCATCCACCAACTCACGCATCCACTTTCAGCCCCATCTTCCAGTACCTGTGTGATTTGCCGCGGAAACGATGTGCGACCGCCCCAGGGGTGGCAGACCTGCAACCTTCGCAGTTCCACACGGAGGGAGTTGTTGCGCCGCGAGGACGAGCAGCGCAACCACGAGCGTGTTCGTTCGCTCCGCAGCACAGCTCCGACATGCTACGACACATGGGGTGTGGGTGAAATTGAACCTCCAAACAGGATGAGCGTCCGGAGCTGGTCAGTTCGTTCTCTGAAACCAGGTGAACGGTTCCGGTCCGCGGGCGGGCGGGCTCGGTGAAGAAAGCGAAGGCCCGCCGCGGGTCAAGCGGTGTTTTTTTTCGCAGTAGGCCCAGAGGGGTGGATCTGGGGGCCATTGAAATTACTACACGACAAGCATAGAAGCTTTCCAGGGAGGTTGCAAACTGGGAAGCATCTCCTCACCTAGTCACTGAGCGGACGTGCAATAACCTTTCACCAGTCGGGATACACAATGTTCAGGCTCTTTTTTGTGTCCTCCTACTAGCAGCTATAGTATCGAACCTCGGTTGATCTGATTGTTGGTATGAACAAGACCTGACAAAGCCACAGATTTTGACTCTGTCATTGCTGTCCAAAAGTGGTGCCATGTCTCCAACATTCATTTCTCCCATCATCTCCCATCCTTGGCTTGACCCGCTTTTGACCATAGACAAGCACCCATCTTGGTGAATCCATTTGCTGCTGCTTCAGGAGGAAGACCGAAAACTCCAGACCATGATGATCTACCAACTGGGCCTTGACTGGTTCCAGGCATCGACTTCGAGTCCCGTTCTTCGTCCGTGACGACTCGTCCGTTCGTTCACTTCGCGACGACGGCGTTCGGCGTTCATGCGGATGGCGTTCGGTACGTCGACATGTACAGACCAAGCGTTGTAAGAACAGACGTTCGATGGTTCTTTCCACGAGGACCGAACGTAATGTGTGTTCAGAGTTTGGTACATATTAAAGTTGTGTTAGGGTGAGCACAGTGAGCATGGTTATACATATGGTCACCCTTTCTCCATATGGTTGCCTTACCTGTGGTTACCATATGATGATCTATCACAATTGGTTATATACATCATAATATAATATGGTTTCCCTGACTAGGAAGTGGCCAAGACTTCTGCATGCAGAGGAAAATGGCCTGCCAGGGGTTCATGTTGCACTTCCATGTTTGCTGAATGGCTCTAGACAGGTCCCATTTCGTTTGAAGCAAAGGGTGGTGACTAGTGACCACCAAACACTAGTGACGACCCGGCATACCGGGTCTTATATAAGTTCAATTCTGCAGAAACCTGGATGATTGTCATGACCAAGACTTCTTTGAAGGTGTTGATAGCCTTCGTGGCAAATGACACAACAAAAGGGGGCTCACAGTTTGCAGCTACACCCAACGATGGACTGGCAGGCCAAGGGCATGCGGCGAGTGGAGGTGCACGTCAGGGTTGCCAAGGGTGCACGTCAGGGTCGACTTCGTCAGGGCTACATGAGAGGGAGATGGCTGGAGATGGCTGGAGCTTTCAGCTTTACTTGCTGTCATTATCCTGTCAACTGCAGAAAGTCCAAGATGACGAGAGGGTTTAACGCCCATTTGCGCCCAGCGAAATCCGTGCACCACAATCACCCAGATCTAAGAAGGCTGCGATGGGCCACAATCACCCACATCTTGGGAGACTTTGAATGTTTTTTTTCTGGTAGATGTATATATTATATACCAGGACCCTCCAACAGGTCACCACCTGCGACTTTTAAGTCTACAAAAGCCTCCAGGGAGACCTGTTGGAGGGTGCTGGTATTGATATATATATATATACCTAGAAAGCCAAGTTGCTGGAAAAAAGTGGGAACTGGCCAAAGTGATATGTTTTTCATGGTCGTGCAAAAGAGTGATGGTTCTACCTTCCAAGAGGCCCTCTGTAGAACACCTTCACTGTTCTAAACCGCCCACTCCCACAGATGGTGCCTTCATGACTCGAATATTTCTCACCAAACAGAGGCCAATCCGATCTTGTATATTGTATTATGTATTGTCTTTTTTTTTGATATACCTTGACTCCTTTCCTTGCTTATTGTTATTTCTTTTGTTCCAGTTCCTTTTTTTCGTTTTCTCAAACCTTCACACTTTACTTCCTGAATCTCCGGGCTTCCGACCATCTGAGGTGTTGCCGTTTCAGATCCGACCAACTCCGCCTCTCGGATCGACCCCCACCGCCTCTCGGGTGGTTAGGATGGTGGATGTTTGCCGGTCGGCGGTGTCTCACCAGGACCCAGAGTTTCCGAGTAAAGCTCTAGAGATTTGCTGTCAACCCGGTGCTTCCGATGCTTGGTTTTCCGATGCTCTACGATCCTGAGGTTTGCTCTTTGAGCATCGCTGAGCATCGACGGAGCCGGATGGACAGCTACCAGGCGTGGGGTAGACATGCGTGACACATCATCAGATGGACAAATGGATACATACTGTTAGATACTTTTGACTATATCATCATTCACATTATGCCTGAGTTTACGTTGTTCATACGGTGGGTTGAAGCCTTGCAGGTAGAGGCATTCTTGGCAGAGGGTGATATTCCCTAACTACTCCCGAGGTTCTGTGGAAACCCTTGAGGCGACTCCACATTTTTTAGCAAGTACTGTACAGTTTAGACATATTTTGACAAACACTGACTTGCGAAAGTTTAACTTTGTATCACAGTCCTCACATGTTCACAACTTCCCAATACTCGCTCATGCTGCAATTGAAGTCTCAACATAAATCCAGCGAACATCACACATGTTGATAGGTCTTGCTGCCCATTGTGGGGTACAACGTACAACTTTAAGGGAAAATACAAGGTCTTCCATGGTTTTCTCTTTTCTCAACTTTTCTCCAGTGGCAGGTCCTGCAAGGTGTGCAGATGGCACGCATGTTCCGGCTGGCTGATAGCAAGCGGGAGCGTGGGTGGGAAGACAGATGAAGGAGCTGGGAGGTCGTGGGGTGCAGTTCTCACTCTACTGGTAGAGGAAGCTGTTCTTCAAAAAGGTTCATGTTCCATGTCAATTGACCAGTTGTGCAAATTTGGGGATAAATAGCTGCATGGATGAGGAGTTTGCTGCAGTACAGTAGTCATGCTTGGATCCATTCTAAAGACTTTCTTGATAGACCTGAACACCACGCATCACCAGGCAACCATTCTATCAGCACCACCACAGGGGTTCAGCCATTTTCACGCAACGAAGGGTTTATCATCTCAGTGATCAGCTCAGTGCGGCCTCCAAGAAACAACGAGAAAGAACATGGAAGATCTTCTCCGCAAATTTCAAGGGGAAATGTCTTTGACACAAGATGGGCTGAGGGTTTTAGCTGCCTGGTTACTTACGTTTAGTGCGTTCGAACCTTGGGTTCTTTAACCTCACGTTTCGAGCCGTACGTTTCCATTTTTTGGAGCTCAAATGCGTTTTTGGAACTTCCTCATGCATAAACAGAAGAAGGCCATCGAACACAGAAGCATCCCAAATGCATGTTCAAGAGCCAGAAAAACGCATCCAGTAGCGCCCCATAGCCCTATAGCTTGGACACAAACAATTCCCAAATGCATTTCCAAGAGTGAGAGAAAAGCATCCAGCAGTAGCCCATAGTTTCTTTTTTGAAAGACAAACATATTTCCGCAAAGTGGACCTCCAGACCACACAGATGCATTTAGCCGAGGACAGTAAATGCAGTTCTTTGGATGGGGCCTGGATTTTGGGAGGGGCTGTGCGTTGGAATACACGTGCGGAACCTTACGTTTTACGTTTTGCGTACCGGGGCGCCTAAGCTGAGGGTGTATGTAATAGTATAGTCGTACATATATTTGGATCACATATTTGCATAGCTCTCTCATGGTCCCAACAGGGTCACAAGATGTCACCAGGTCACCCGTGCCCGTCGCTTCGACGCAGGACGTCATCTTCGTGGCGCCCAAGCACATCCATGAGGCGCCGCCGCACGCGGCACGGTTCGGGGCACAGGAGTCATCCGGGCGTCGGGCGTCCACTTCCCAGACACACCTGGAATAATTACCTACATTGACTCCTGAAACCACGCCAATGAATGTAAGTAGAGTGTTTGGGAAAAGGATCCAAAACCCAATTTGCCAGGTGGTCCCGCATCTCTCTCTCTCTCTATTTGTGATTATTATCTATGATAATGTTTAAAGAAACACAATATATTATTGTTTGTGTTGGTTTTCTATTCGGTACTTTGAGCCTTCTTTTTGGTTGTTGTAGGTCTAGGATGTGGGCTAGGAATCCCTTCAGTCAACTCATCATTGAGGAAGGACCAGGAAGACCCCAATCTTGAGACAAGATAAAACATTGATTTGTCATTGTTTTGGTTAGGAGCATCAACATGGTGATTTTGGCTAGGGTAGGCGATCAGACCGGCCGGCAAGTGGCAGTCACTCCATGGACCCCGCCAACAGTGCGAGTTTGGAAGCAAACGCAGCGATTTGGTCCCGTTGCCAGGATGTCTTGGACTACTACTCCAAGATCATGCAGTTCCGTGGCATCCAGAACCCGCCGGGACGTTTTCAGGTCGAAAGCACAGTCATCGCAAGTTGGACACGTAAACTTGCTCGCATGAAGCCACGAACCTGAGAAAATGAGACTACATGTAGCTAAAACAGCTAAACAGTGTGTCATAGCAAGTATGGTACATGTGTCATCCAGTGTACAGTCGAACTGTTCGATGTGACACGACTCAGTGAGTCCCTTGTTGGATAAAGGTGGTGGTCCCGGAGAACATGGGCTTGAAGGACAAGTTCTCCTTGACCCAGGCGTCATATCGGGATGGCTCGGGGCGTGGGCAACGTTTCCTCAGCTTCAAAAGAGTCCGTCTTCCACTCGTCATGGCCGTTCACGCGAGATGAAACCCACGTGATAGCAGTGGGGAGATGAAGAGGTAAGGCAATGTGACTTTGCACTGAGGATGATCAACATGCAGTGCCTAGGCCCGCCGATGTTTAAATTGTATGTTAGATGCACCATGGTGGACATGTGCAGCTGGTGACTTGATGAGGGACCCCTTATCTTTATGATGTGACCAGGCTCTTCAGCTTTTCTTCCTTTTTCGTCTAAAAACCCAGGTCCCGACTCCTGACCCAACAGCCCCTCCGGGCGGGAGCTGAAAGCGGGGCCGGAATTGACTTCTGAACGGAACGTGGGACGGGAATTTCATTGGTGCAGACGGTGCAGGAGAGTTCTGAACTTACTTTGACATGTTTTTATACTTTGAGCCCCTTGCGATCCTGAAAGTTCCTTTGTAGGTTCCACTATCTTCGAGAGACCTTTACAGGGCAGAATTTCTCAGCGGTGGGTTTGACACCGGAACATGGTCCGCAACTTTGTGCAACTATTTTGGCCAGAATTGTGCTGACCAGCATCAAGCTGCGGATCCAAACCGAACCTTCATTTCAGTATCAAAGATCTGAATTGCAGTCGATTCTGCTTCGTTTGGAGGCCACAGTCTCAGCCCGGTGGATTCAGTGAATGAAACCCTTCGGAATCCCAGTGCCATCGTTCACCTCACAATGTAGACCTCCACATACTCCGTTTGCAGATGAACATGGAACAAAACCAGTGGCTTGGTATGCGGGTACCATCTGTCCGAAAGCCACGGATCAATTCTCAGGATCCATGCGGTCCGTCTGCAGAAGGGGATAGAATATGATGCAAAAAATTGGTTTTGACCGGCTGACTTCTTCGTAGACTCCACTGGTGCCAGCGAGGCCTTGTTGTGCTCCCCCAAGGCCAGAGATGAAGCGGTGGTGGGTAGACGGGGAAATCTGTTTGGAGATGGGGATGTTCCAATAAAGACACCCAAACAGTGCTAGATCTAGAGTTGAACACTGACACCCTGTAGTGTTCTTGTTGGTGCCCATCGGAAGAAGGGCAATTACAAGGTTTTGACACACATCTACCTGATTGCACACATGTTGGTTTCTGAGTTTTGCGCGGCTTTGCGTGTCAATGATTATCAATCCTTGAAAGTAAAGCGAAGGGGAACGCCGCTAGGTAATTTGTACATGTTGTACCATTGAAGTTGTCATAAACTCTCGGGAGGTTGCACGAGTGACATCCCAATGGACCAAGAATACATGAACTACATCAACCATTTGTTTAAACAGTTATACATTTACTATTTGGAGAACAAATGCAAGCAGTGCCACATCCCACTGAGATTGCTCAAACTCATCAAGCAAATGGTGTCTTGTTTTGATTGACATTCAAGTATATATGAGTATTATGTTGAATTGTTTGGTTAAAAGTATCTTCAGCAGAGATCCGCGTGTTATCAGGACTCCTGTCAATCTGGTCCACAGCGATGATTTGGTCAACCTGGTACACCCGATCTGAAGGGTGTGGGCCTCCACGTGCTGATCCATTTTATTCAATTTTGTATTGATTTAGTATGCATTTGGTATTGATTTAGTGTTGGTGAAGCATGTCCAAGGGGATGAGGACTGGATGATGGGAGGGCTTTCCGCCCAGTAACTCTCTTTAGGGTCAACCTCTATCTAGTGCCATGGGAGGTAGCCTCACTGAACCGATTTTGGATTGAGATTGAATCTGGATCCACCACATTTGATGTTCAAACGATTTGGTATAACGTGTTCCAGGTCACATGCAGCTAGTATGTTGATTCTAAATCATTGGTCGGCGGCTTCCCCTAAGCAGCATAGCAACAGCACATATAGAGGTCTACAGAAGCACATAGATGCAGCATATACCACATAAAAGCAGCCTCAATAGAGCATTGACACCAAATTCTCAGCCTGATCCAGGTCAATCCGGGTTTAGGGCCCAACAAAGTTAGCTTTAATTAGGCTGCATATTCAATTAGGGATTAGGTTAGCTTTATTCAGGGTATATTTATAAATCCAAGGTCGACAGGATTGATGTGTGACGCCCACAGCAAGTTCAAATCCCGTGGGCCGCCATTTGGGATTGAGCTCGAAATCTCGCCTGCCACGTCTTTGGTGTGTTTACTGTTCTTCATCATCTTTGGACCTGTTTGTATAAAAACACACCAATTTGCAGCATGTTAAAAACAGAAACACATCCAGAACTGGACAACATCTAAATGACCTGCACGTAACCAATGTCTTGGGTCTGTCCTATTGCCTTTCCACAGTCATTTTCCACGAGCATGTCTCTCGATTTTTAGAGAAAGGCAGTGGTTTAACTAGGCCCCATCATCAGCCACCGGCTTCCACAGGGAATGGGATGAGCTACCCAACAACGGTCCTTCAGATCCCTCCGCACCGGTGCAGGCCCTGAAGCGGATCGCCCGGCTGGTGAGCAATCGCTTGGCCATGCTGATCCCCGAGGTGGCCATGCGCGCGCAGTTCTCGGCGGAGCCTAAGAGATGGAGTGAAGATCCAGTCCATGTAGTGGCTTCAAAATCGAAATAGATAGGTAGTAGAGCGCCAAAGAAACGGATGGATGGATGGATGGCTGGCTGGATGGGTGGGTGGGTGGGTGGGTAGAATAGGATTGGAGAGATACAGATAGACTGAGACAGAAGGGCTTCAATATATATATATGATATTAAATTAGAAGAGTTAATCCCCTGTAAACGATTCCTTACAGCAAGCCATTATACCCCAAATGGATCCAAATGCCCAAGCAGGGTGTGAGAAGATTTTCCCCCAAAGGACCCCGAAAGACTGCGACCAAGTCAATGTTTGCCGCGTGTATTGCGCAAGAACTCAAAGGCAGGTCTCCTGGACATCAGATCTGAAGCAAATCACATGCACAAATGTTTCGAACCAGGCGTCCGCCCTCATGATGTCAAGCCCACCGTCCGTGTTGGACTCCGTGAAAGACCACCATGCTTCGACCATGTCCCGGGGATGCATGTTGGTAGGAGATCCGTGTCGTAGACGTCAACGTGGCAGGCCGTCACCCACGCAGAAGCCAAGCTGAGCAACACCTTGAGGCGAGGCTTTGGCGGGACTGGCATATTGGGCCCTGGGACTGCTGTAATCATCTACTCGTACTATATTCTGATATAGTACTGTACCTGCCAAAGAAATTGTTTGGTTTGGGGTTTACCCGGGAGATGTTGAAACGATCTAGTTTCAGCCCAGAGGAATTGAGGGGTTCAATGTTCAACAAAAGCTTCTTCCAACGAGTTAAGGTTAGTTCAGTTCCCATTTCCCCATCATTTCATTCTGGAACTATTGGAGTGCTGTAGAAATCTTTTGGATCCACTGTAAGTCTCCCGCAAGAACTTTTTGGGGCGGAACCAACCATGTGATAAAATGTTGCAACCATTTGCCAGTGATGCTTCCCACCATGTGGCCGCCTTTCGCCAGATATATGGTGTTCTGTTATTCTTTGGACTCAACTCAGAATCTTTGAAAACAGCCTTTAAGACGCCTCCTTCATCCTGAACCGACGACCTCCGATCGTCCAAATTGGGATCCGCCCTCCGACCGGCCTTCAGACTCCCCTTGATCGGCCCCAGCGCGCGGAACATGTCGCTCCTGAGCTCCAAGTCCAACGGCAAGGCCGACGGTCGACGGTGTCGCGCGGGAGTGGATTCTCCGGTCAAACCGGTTGGTGCGGAAAAAGAAAAACAAGCGGCAGGCCTGCATGGGTCTATTTTTTCTTGGCAGGCCGGCATGAGATCATTGAAGAGATTGTGAAAGTACTGTAGTATGTTTAGCCTTGACAAAAGCAGCAAAGCTCAGTTGAAAGGTTCTTATCTCTGTTTTTTTTCTAAGTACAGATGAAACAACGCTAGTTCTGCGGCTCTGCGTTGCGGACAGCTTGCATTTGTTGTTAGACACCTAGCCTAGACTCATCTAGACTCCACCATGCCATGTAGCCCCATCTTGTGAAGTGGAGAACGTGCAACCAGACCCCAAGCAGATCACCGTTCGGTGAATCGATCCTTCGGTCAATTCCCATCCGAAATCGAATCCATGGGACCATGGGAATGGAACCTTCCAGACCCGGATGGCCACCCGGACGGCCACCCCAAGTCATCCCACCCGGTCACCCGGTCACCTCCCAGAAACTGGCGCAGCTAGCGCAGCTGCCCGTGGGCCCCTGGGCGGTGGACATCTATGACGAGGCGAGCGGCTGTTGCGTGGTTAGGCTTTTGACGGATGTTCCAGCTTGACATATGGAGACATTTTTTGGAATACGGAGACCCTTCAGAACTTCAGCCGGAGTTTCATCCAAGTGTGAGAAAGGACCAGTGTATTGGGGTTGGGATCTCGGTATTTTTAGACAAACCCATATTTTGAGATGTTGATGGCTGAAAAAGCTATCCCTTCGCATGTTGCATGGTTGGACCACCCCCCTTTTAGGAAGAACAGGATTCGATGCGGATCTTACTAGCTGCCTGCCGACTTTGTTCCAGGTCTTGTTGTTTGACAAGGTTCAGTTATCCACTCTTGTCCAATATTGTTTTTGATTAGAACGAAGTTGCGAGCTTTGGTAAATATAGTGAGGCACCAGTCATTTCTGAGACCTGGATGTTTAGCGAATCCCCACAGAATCACAATGTTCCAAAAGGATAGGGGATCAAGTGAAGGCAGTGGAAGCATATGGAAGCATGATCAAGGCGATTTGATGGTGATTAAGATCCAGCCATGGGGAAATGTGAATCTACTCGTGATAGCTTCATGTTTTCACCCAATTCTTGATTGCATGTTGATCCTTCGTATCCTCGGTCTTTCAAGGCCAATCTTTGTGCCAACATTGCTGTTCCAGTGGCTGAGAACAAGCGTGTCCTTGGCAGGATGAGTTCTATAACTCCCTGGCAGGCCTCGTGGTGAAGCATCCAGAGGCCTGTAGGAATCGTTCGAGAAATCAGAGTTGGCTGCACCCCTGACAGCCTACAGAAGCCAGAAATCAATGCACTGTCCGATGAGAGTCGAATGCCGAATGACCAATATTAGGTGAAACAGACGTACTGGTATATATAAGTCAGGAGTCAGGAGGTTGATGAAGGGCAGTACCACCACCCCACGAATCGGCAGTTTACTGCAAAGCTATGCAACATATTGACCCCACAAACTCCCTGTGACACTTCCAAGAGTTCAGTGAGGAAGCTTGAGGTCACACTTCCGTATTCCCATGAAGCTTCATACAAATTCGTCCGATGTTCATCCCCTTGGGCCCACCATGATCTCGCCCAGGACAACGCTCTCGTGCGGAGGTGTGTCCAGGAACGTCCTCTGTCACGTGTCACGAACGTGTCACGAACAGGTGAGGACGTGGCTTCTGAAGATCGATGATGAGCGAAACTCCCGGGGCACCGCCTACCTGGACCTGCAGAAGATCCCTCAGGCGAGACGAAACCTCCGGTCCGACCTCACACCGCGGAAACGGGAGGGCTGGTGACATGGGGTGACGAAAACCGCACGCGGATGCTTCGAAGAAAGCGAAGGAGAGAGACCAGAAAGCTGCTAGATGGTTCGGTTTGGTTCAGTCAGTTGCTGCACTTTTGATGCTGTGGGAGGTGACAGACATAGCTTATAGGATTTGTTTCTTAGTCTATGACCATCTTTGCCCACCGCGGCACAAAACGAAGTTCCATTGTGGATGGGCCAAATCAGTTGGTTGCTCTAAACATATGAACAACTGGGTCAGATGGCATTCCTTTCCGATGGAACATGTATGTTCGCAACTGGAGACCACGGTTGGCCCCACATGTCTTGGTCGTCTACTTGAAAGCCATCACTTGTTGGCCGGGAAGAGGAGACAACTGGCGAAATCAGGTCCGTAGATCCATTTGGTTGTCTGAAGAACCTGAGAGCCTATGAATATAATGTTTTGCACAGTGTTTTGATGCATATTCAATATTCGTTTGTGCTGCTCTGGGGTTTTGGTCCTTGTCCATTTGGGAGGAAACACAGATGTCCGGGTTTGAGAAGTCGGTACCAAGATGTACCAAGTGGATACACAGCCCAAACTCTGCGTTTAGGGTAATTTTCTCTGAGTTTCTCTCTCACTTTCACCATACAATAAGGATACAATATGATAAATTCAGTGCTAGAACCATATTGGGGTGCTCATGGACTCATTTTGGTGGGTATAGTTTAACCAGAGACTGCAGGCCCCAGACCTCGATAACTACATAGCACTCTTCAGCAACAGCACTTCGAGGTACTCAGGAGATTCATTCTTTCGATGCTGACCGCCACGAGGTGCAGAACGCGGCCTCCGCGCCAGCATTGCTGGGAGGCGAGGTGAGTCGCTATACACACGGTAAGACCGCAACAAGCAGGGGGCACATCTCAGATTGAGGAGTCCGGGGTCTCAAATCTTGAGTCTTTAGAGGTCTTGAGGGATTGTTGTGTTGTGGTTGTTGACCTGTCACCGAACAAAGATAGGTAGCACCTCGCACATTTTTCCACCTCACAAATGGAAATGCCAACGTGCCAATCTTAGACATGTTTTGCACTGCTTCAAATGCCCCCCCCACTTTGGAAGTGTTCTCAATGTCAATATACAAATACAACAAAGCACAAGCAGAAAGAGGATTGAATTACTGTAATCCGTTGCAACAATCCAGTGCTTGGATCACATGATAGTCTATATAGTTTGGACATGTTTAGACTTAAGAATTGTTTAATCATGCATATATCAATTACATCATCTCCCAATCGCTCGAGCAACAAACATATGCATCCAAATTGCAGACTACTTGTCAATTTACCCCTTCAAAAAGATCAGATTGCGCAACCTGTCATAACCTGCACATAGTTCTTTACATACCACATACCATGACATACCTGTACATGATACCTGCATGTATACATGAACTACCCATTGTACATCTATTAACCACTGCCGCCCGGGACGCCTGCCACGGGCCTCGGGCCTCCGGCCCTCCCAGGCGCCAGCCGTGAGCAGCTCCACGGCACCGAGGTCTCGGTGCTGGGCGCCGACGCCATGGAGGACGCGGGGCGCGGGGAAAGCCGGTGGCGAGGTGTTTTTTCCTTTTGGGTGGTGGGTGGTGGGGGAACACACAATTGGGAAACAAGAAAGGTTTCAAACAATAATACAATAGACCATCAAAAAGCCTGAGTTGGGAGAGAAGATGAGTGAGTTGGGGGGGAGGTTGTTAGGTGAAGTATGGTGAAGTTGAAGATGCAGTTTGGGGTGGTTTGTGCGTGGTTGGGGTTGGGTAGGGGTTCAAACTGGGCGTTGGAGGGAATGGTGGTTTAGTTTAGTCGAGTTACGAGTTCTTCATGAAGTTCTTTATTAGAGTATTAGAGGACAGGTCTTTTCACTCGGCTTCAGCAAGCAGCCGATGGCCTATGGTTGTAGCATGTTTGGAATCCTTGTTGATTCTGTTTAGTGTTGGGTAAACTGTAGCATGTGGGAATTTGTAGAGAAAATGCTTGACTCCAGCACAGATGCTTTCGATTTCCACAACATCATGTACTGACTTGGACAATGGGTGATGTTTCTTTCGGGTATTAACTCAAGAATCGGTGGGTTCCACAAAGCCCCAAAGCCTGTGACGTTTTGACCGGCGAGTTGTGACCTTTGAGGTCCGTTCCATGCTTCAACACCTGGTGCCGAAGAGAGTTGTGCTGTGCAACCGACAGGCGCGAGCGAGTTGGGATGGTTTGTGCTGCAAGCGGTACCCCTAAGTGAGTTAGTTAGTTTCACTCCACCTTGGGCTTCATTGAATGGTTCACTCCTACACGTTGCCGGTTGGTTAGCTCCCGTTCTTGATGGTTCATGTTATTCACATAGTCAGTCACTGAGTCACTTTATTTTGTTGGCCAATGAGTTTAGACCGTCGCCCACCGAGGGCCGTCGGCCCGTCGTCTCCGTGCGCAGGTCTACAGCGACTTCAGCCATTGGCTGGCGGAGGCCTGCCGCATCGGCTGTGTGATCCAGGCCCGGCTGAAGCGGTCACACAGCGGTCATGTTTTTGCTATTAGGAACAAAGGCCATCGCTACTAGGGGCTCCTGGCCTTACTACTA